AAGACGAATTTCAAATTTAAGAAAATACGTATGTGTCAAGAAAAATACATATTCCCAGTGAAACATCCCAACCAATAACGTTTCCCAACCTATCAAGCTGTGGTAATCACTCCTGGGTAGCTTAGAGTAGTAAAGAATAAAAAAGAAGAAGAAAAAAAATATGCTTTAATAGCATTAAATACCATTATTATGATAGTTCGATCGTTTCATAAAATGATTACGCGTGTCTACATTCATTAACTGATTCAGTAAAAACCTTAAAAGATCCTAATTTAAACGTTCATGTCATGTAATTTATTTTTCAGTGCAATTTGTATTCACTTTAACATACTTCAATTGACCGACATGCTGATTGACATGGCCATTAGGAAATTAACCATCCACTAATGTCTGTAAGCTGAAAAAGAGTGCCAGTTAAGTTTGACTTTGAAGCCATGACATTGCACCTATGTAGTCACTTTACTCATCCCTCGTGGTAATCAGGAGGAGGAAAGGTTTATTGGCTAGTAACGATCCTTTATATACAGCCCGGAAATGGTCAACCAATCTATAGTACTTTATCAATAAGGATTAACAAGGACGTGCCAGAAACAAACTAGAATTCCGATTATAAGTGGGCCAGAGATTTCATCTCCTGCCTTGATACAGCAGCTGAATACCTAGAAATCTACTTTCAATGAACGGGGTCCAACCAATGGAACATGACCTCCCTGTCTGGCATGGGATCTCCAGCAGTAATATGAAAGTGTAATCGAGTGGAAAACCCGGATTTGGGACAGGATTGAAAAATTAGAGAAAACACTGAAATGAAAGCGTTGCCCGTGTACGAACCAAGTACAGTACATGGGAAGGCCCAAGGGTTGGCGCTAATATTGGAAAGGTATGGGATTTAAGGATTGAGAAGTACATGTAGTTGGCAGCCTGTAAGTAAGTACTCAATTCATCCGGATGATGACGTTGACAACAACATTTTGCATCATTTTTACTAGACCATATTACAATTATGTTCTAACAGGAACTTGTCTGTGTTTATTTTTGAACGATGAGTTAAGTCTCATACATAGAAAATAATACGATTTTCCACCTTTAAACGTTGTAATCTGTAAACTTACTGAATAAGAACACACTGAAACTAGTTAAGTGTTAATCCACAGTAATTCAAGAAAATATGTTTTTTACAGAAAATCAAGGTATCGCAGTCGTTTGATTCACCGCCAAGATACGACTATTTTTGGGGTGTTGTTTGGTTGTCCTTTTTTGTTTTGTGTTCAATGCCATTGAATTTTTCAGTTGGTATGTAGTCTATTGGTAAATGTATAGCTGTACTCTGTTTAACAACGCCATGACGTGAATGGTTAGAGTGTACATGTAGTTGTAATAATAATGCATCTTTTAGTATACACGAATCAAAGTCTCAGATTATAAAACGTGATCGATTTACACTAACTATTATTTTGATTGATCATTAAAATATGCTATATATTCCTTTCAGTTCTGATACTGAGTGCGTGTACAAGCATAAACCCATATTATACACGTAAAATCATCCATGTTGCTCTTCAATCGTCTCGAACGAACGAATAAGAATATGTGAGAGTCTATGTATTTAGGAGCATAGATATTCAATACTATGGCACTCCGTTACTGACGTTGTGAGGCCGAGTTGATATTTATCAGAATGAATCGGCGTAACACGCTGCCTCCAACTAGTGCATATGTATACAGTTTACTAGCATGTATGAAGCTGCGATTGTCTGAAATAAATAAAAAATGCTTGTAACAATGGTGTTTACGGTTCAGTGACTACACGGTTAAATACACATGAACTCACACACACATTAAGTACCGTTGTACTGTGGTAATATCTAATTTTTCAGTCAGCCATAGGGATCGATTATGAACTAGTTACTAATGTCATAAACAACGATCGATGACGTCATCTTAATGTTGTTGCTAATCACAACCCTTAAAGGGTTATTCGAGAAAGCATTCCTAACATAGAGATCTACACCAGTATCGCTTTTGACTCCACAGATAGCAAGGACCATCCCTCCATTTTGAATATGATTAGAGCGTTTGTTAATTAACATAAAGAAAAGTAAGTGATCATGAATATATTTAGGTTCTTGTTGTAAAGATTGAGCACCAAAATATTAATGATCATATTAACTTTTATGGTTCAGTGTAGTACAATAAACTTGATATGCTGATATTGATTTGCAGACATACATGCAATGTTAACCACTGTAGACCACACAATGCATTTTGAAAAAAATATCCATATCAGTATAATTCTGTTCAGTTTTGTTGACCACAGTTATAATAGTCCTTAGAGCCTGTTTATCTGCCTATAGTCGGGCGTGACGAGACTTGAGGTGTCGTAGAGCTGAATGACTGAAACAGAAATACTCGAAATAACTAATATTGATAACCTTTACATGTCTAAAGCAAACTCGCCTTGATAGAGTGTTTGTCCCCGTTGTCGGGCCTAACGATCCTGCATTGACCAGATCAAAGCACACACACACTATTCTGTGTAATCAATCAAGCATATATGCATGAAGCTCAATACAGATTGACGTATGTTCTTTTGGCAACATGTGTTTGGGCGGTAGTGAAATGTAACACATCTTGTTAACATATGTTTGATATATCGCTTCAATTTATTCCTACGACAGAGATAAAATGACGGGTGTGTCAAACTTGTCTATAAAAATTATATCTTTGTTTCTGAAATCAATAACACACCAAGGCATCACGACTGCAGTACTTTGCTGACAATGTAGAGTAAAATATAAACCAATGAGCCAATATACACTCACAACATTGCATCAATGTATCCCAATTAACTCACATGCTTTCTTTGAAAATATACACATTTGTATTACTAATCTCTATGGCTTTCAACTTTACCTGTTCAGCTAATGATGCACACCCATTAAGTAACCAGCTGCCGTCATCAACCCATCAGCGAGATTGGTACTTATCGAACACAAACTTTTAAGAACAAGGGAGCGTTTAATTTATCATCCAGTGTGTTTAATGACGCATGTTTGGTTTTATTACATTGCTATTTAACACCTATTAGTTCTGTTAAAACGTTCAAATATATATATAACACAGATCTCAATTGAACACATAACCATTTTCCAAATAAGTGAGTGAGTATGATTTTATGCCGCTTTTAGCAATATTCCAGCAATATCATGGCGGGTGACACCAGAAATGGACTTCAGACATTTTGCCTATGTAGGAATTCGAACCCCGGTCTTCAGCGTGACGAGTGGACGCTTTAACCATCTGGCTACCCCACCGCCTCTCTCCAAATAAAATGTTCTACATTTTAACACAATAAATTTTGCCATTATGTCCTATCCCTTCTTATTCGATCGATGTATTTATGTATTTATGTACTTGTACAGAAGATATATGCAATGTCTATTCGTGTGACTCTTATTGAACATAACTTGCAATTAGGTTAGACATTAAATGGCATGTTGCATGAATCAAAATGATTTTGTAATGGGGAAAGGGGTGTCCCTGTAGAATCGAATCTAAATCGAACTTGTTACATAACCATATTTTCGTTTATAACGGACTCCTTCCACTCCTCTTATTTCCCTACTCGCAGCCGTGTGTACTAAATGGATAGACATCTTGGCGTAATTGCCAGTAATGTAGGACAACGCGGTGGACCTAGTAATTCCTGGCCATATCACGTACTTTGCTAATGTGTTACTGGAGAGTAAGATAATAAAACGGAGACAGCAAAGGCATTCTAGTCACGATGGAGAGGATCCAAGGGACCACCGTATTATAACGGTAATGCAGATTTTCCGTGAAGTATTCACAAATCGTGTCAGCTTTCGCGAATGTAATTGCTCGTTTCAGCATACATTTAATGCATTCAGCGCCCAGTAATTGGGTTTCCAACTCCCATGTTTACATGGTTATTGTAATTTCTTCAAATATCATTTCAGGGTATATTAAGGCTCTGTCTAATACTTCAAACTGGATTATACGACATTGGACGATGTGTAGACGAGTAGGGTCTGTATGCGCCCATCAGTCCGAAACTTAGTGTTGACATGGATACAGCTGGTTGAGCCTGTTCTTTAGTTACCCGCCATGAGAATACTGGGAATGTGATTGTTAATATCCCTGTGATATTATACTCACCACCACCAGTCCCTGTCCCACGCACCTCCAGTGCCTTCCATTGGTTCAGAATGAAGACCATGACACTTTGTTAGATACAGCATATATCAAGTCATTTTACAAACTAAATCCATGTACACTTTCTTTACATTTGTATATGCCATCCTTGATTGTTCAAATTATCGTATTATATTATTATAGTATAATTAACAATCACATTATATCGCGTATGTCATAATATCATATGGCGTGTCATGTTAGTGTGGGAGGAAATAAGACAAATCTTGGAATTGCACCACTTTGGTGTTACCTACGGACAGGTGGAATGCGTTGACAAACCAGGAACGATAGTCAATGCAATCCTCCTTCGAAACCTTCAAGGATTGATTTCTATCTAGCGCATAGACTGCAGGTCTGCAAGGCAAATAGCTGCACGTTCTACAACATGACCCGTGCCTTTTACTAAATGTATGGTATGGCACACTGAATAATCGGGGATGTAGATATGCTTTCTGAAATACTTAACTTTATGTTCAGACAAGTGATGTAAACACTGAAAGCATTAACCTATTAAAAGTCGCATGTAGCAACAATTACAAGATTGTCGGAAGAGACGACTAACGGGATCGGGTGGCCAGTATCGGTATTTTTACTGATGTATTTCATCGTATGATAGGTACGTAGATCGGTTGATCGGTGCTCATGATGTCAGTCACAGGATTGTAGGGTAGAGACTCGATTATTTACACACCACTGCCATTAAATAAAGGTTTGCAGAGTACGTCATGAAACAATAAACAAACATATAATTCATATCAAATATTTTATTTTTGTTTTTTCAGGTTTGTGGCGATAGTGTTTCCCATTAAGGCGCATATTGTGTGTACACGGAAGAAGATCCTGTGCGTCATAGCTTTCATTTGGCCCGTCGCTATAGGCTGTGGACTGCCTACATTACTCTTCAACCAAGTCACACCAGTGGCTCCGGGACTTTCATTGTGTCAGATCATCTTTCCAGGAAATAACTTCCAGTTCTTTATTATTTTCAAATATCTTGAATCGGTGTTATTTTATTTTCAACCCATGATCATACAGATAGTTCTGTACGCGGTGATAGGTCGAAGGCTATACGCAAGTACAGAGGAACTGAACACTCGATTCCAGATGCGTCCGGACGCACACTCCAAAACAGAAAGATCCGCTGACACAATAAAGGCAAGAAAGGGCGTTGTGAAGATGCTTATAGCAAGTGTGCTTATTTATTTCATCAGCTACTCACCGCAACAAATTCACCTTTTATACAACACGTTCTCGAGAACACCGTTTCCAGAAAGTTGGCCATTCCTTGTTTTTGTTATGATTATAACCCATGTGAATTCCGCAGCTAACCCCGTGCTTTACAGCATATTTAGCCAGAACTTCCGCCGGAACTTCAAGCGATGTCTGTGTTTCATTTGCTATCGGATGGAGCGGAAGGCATACCGGAGGACAAGATTCGATTCCTTCGACTCCCGTGCTGTTTCCAGAAGAAACAGCACATCCCGCACCACTATGTCCAGAGTGTAGATTCCATGTGGACAAGATTGTACATAATGAGAAATTGGAAGACACATATTCGAGACACACAATGAAATCTGATCATGTGTACTGTTGTGTGATATACATACACTGAACACAACGATAAATGGGTCAGTGTGGTGTAGTTTACACCATTTGTCAGCAGGGATTGTCAGATTAATGTTTCAAGGTATATCATTAGAAATACAGTATTCTTGTTTGTTGTATGAGTTATCTATTTCGGAAATGAATGTACTTATAATTACAGTGCAATATTGGACAATATTGTAGTTGTTGTGTGGTAGCCGATTTGCAAGCACACTTGATGCACAACGTCAAAACGTGATTCTGAAGACTGGCGTATGATAAACTAAAAAGATCATCGATTTGTTATGTTTGTCTCGTTATGAATGTAAAATTATATTTTTGTGCTTCTCATAGGCACTAAGTCGTATATGACGCTCATATGAAATAGACACTTGTGTTATTTGATCATATTTTTTCTGACATGTGCTTTTGCTTTGAGAAAGGGAAATTTATAAAAGTATACAAAACTTTCAAACGTGTATTGTCCTGTATCAGATATATATCGTGTTGTAACTTGTGGCCTCAGTATCAGTGTATGGTCGCATGTTTTGTGTTTTCTTTTCAGGGAACAAAAAACCATTAACATATCGTGACTTACCAAAGTATTCAGATTTAAACACATTAAAATGACATACATGCTTTTGGGCTTACGATTGTATGGACCTGTTTATTTGGGATGCGAATGCCAAACACCTCACTTGTGTAGCTTAACTGATAAATGTGGTAATGGTCATACAACGACAGACGAAGCTTCCCATTGACAGCCATGATACCTACATATGTCAGTGTATCCATCTGTGATGGTTTTATGTGACTTTTCAGGTTTGACAGTGACCATTTAAAAAATCATTTAAATCAACCTTACGCGCTAGAACATCACGCCAATACGACTGAACCCCATTTCACAACGCGATCGTAGCGCTAAGGTGTTCGTAACTCCAATACTTTAACATAGACACGACAGTCGTAGCGCTACGATCGTTTTGTGAAACGGGCCCCTGGTGTTTAATACGGTCTAAGATTCACATTGAAGGAACTGTGGACATAAAGGGATGTGATTCAAGTTTATCTACACGGGTTCTTTGAACTGTTGAGAACATGAATCATTCTGGAATTTGGACTAATCTGTGGAACATTCAGTCATCAATACGCTGGGTTCAAAAGATCCTGATAAGAAAGGCAAAATATGTCTTGTGTTAATCTAGCTCTGTTTGAAGCATATCCAGTAGATTCTGGCAACAATTTGTGACTGTCATGAAGCTTGGTTTGAAATCCCCCAGCCTGACTCTGAACAAGGAAGTCGTGATCACCACAGCCAAAGAAGATAAAGACCATCGTTGGAATAGTTATGGAATTCGTAGTATAGAGATAGAGATAGATAGGCAAAACAATGCCGCACTTTTGAGATAATTATGTTCCACAAGGACAATGCGCTAGTGCATAAATCAGCCCGTGCAAAGACTGCATGTCCGCCTGTATCACCCACCTTATTGTCCTGAAGCCTCCAAACTGGAAGAAACGTCTCGCCAGAACAATAAGGTCAAAGTAGTTGTGGATTACTGTTTTGACGTCTACAAAACTGGGATAAATTCCCTCCAAAATCTTTGGCAAAAGACTGTCAATACAAAGGAACTTAAAAGAAAACGTAAAAAAATTCAATGTCTTTATTTTTAGTTTTTGTAAGAATGCTTCAGAAATGATCAATCACCCACATAGATAATATAGTGATGCTTTCATGTCCACAGCATCAGTGTTGGTCTGTTGGTCATGATATGCAGTTTTAGTAATTAAACCGTTAGTATCGTGAACTTGCCTGATATAGGAATAGCGCTGTGGTCGGACAAAATGTGGGGTGACTTTCTATACAGATACACACTAATAATAAGATGCATGCAACTAGGCCGCATATCATAGTCAATCAGTGTAATTAATTGTTCTTACCCAATGGCAAAATGTAAACAATCACCCATGTAAGGCCAGTGCCTGGAGCAGGGGCGACGCTCCACGCAATTGGCGGACAGCGATAACTCCCAATGAGCTTAGTCACAAAGACTGACCACACGATATATTTTTGTGAGTGAGTGAGTGAGTGAGTGAGTGAGTGAGTGAGTGAGTGAGTGAGTGAATGAGTTTGATTTAAGGATGCTTTGAAAAATTGTATGTGTCAATTCCAGCGGCAGAATGCATGAAGAAGGCCCGATGCAGGCCATACAGCACTTCAGTGAAAGCCACAATCACGATGCTAAAATACATAGCAACATAATCGGAATCAAGCTTGGATTCAAATCAATGATCACAGGTCTCTGGCACGCTTTCACAGGATTCCACAGCGAAATGGAGCGGCTTAGACGAATGAGCCGCCTAATTGCAACCAGGCATCCCCGCTCGTTCAATTACCTTTGATATATATAATTCAAGACTGAGTGAGTGAGACTTTACTCCGCTTTTAGCTATATTTTATCAACATCACCAGAAATGGGCTTTGCACATGAGTTGAATGTAAGAAGGGCCTGAAACTGAAGTTTTGCATGGTTTGGTAAGCATGCAATTTGGAAATGCGCCGAAGTTCTATTTTCCATAATTTGTATCAGAAACATACGTGTTTTCTAATTCATTAGTAGTCTCTTGGGCAGGATCGAATTCCTAATAAGGAAGATGGTAGGACTTCGCATTCTATGTAGGATATATTAGTGTTGTAATTGACAGTTCCAAACCCAGACTATTACGAATTGACATGTGTCTCAGTAACGTTCGACCTACATGTACAACCGCCCGCCGAATCATGAGTAATCTCCTAAATCGATATTCAAAGAATAGGCGCCTTATGTAGGTTCCAGTTTTCACTATTGCTTCGAAACATTAATACCTTCTATCACAGTAAGTAGGGTATTATGCTCCACATCAGATTGATTTACATGTCTCATGTCACGGCACTGCTCTGAAAACAAGTACTTACAGTGATAAATATTGAAGTAAACTGGCAAGAAGGACATGAAATGTTTCAACAATAACACAATAGCACAATTTCACCCGAGACAAAATTCTTGTAAATGCGCCCCGAACATAACAAATCTAAAGTCCAGACAAGCTTTGAATTCTCACTGTAATCGATATCGCCAGGGCGTGGGTTCTCGATGGGAACAGGAATCCCAAATGGATATAACTGTCACGCCCCTGAGTATTTACACCGGTTATTATTTGATATACTTCAAATTTAAACCATAAAGGTTTCCAGCACAACATTTAAACTGGTTTTCATATATGCCATGCCTTTACCTTGAACAGTAAGCCAGGTCTCAGAGTTAATGGAAACCATGGCCACTTTGAGTTATGACATATTGTATGCACACACTACCTAACACTGTCAGCTTTAGGTCTTGGGAGCCGCGACGATTTACACGTGTCTGAAGGGGTTCAATGATCGTGATCTAGACTACCAGTTGCGCATATTTGTTGAAGCCGTGCTGGCTGAGTGGGTTAGATCGCTGACTCTGTGTACTGGTTATGCCTCTCTCTGAGGGTTCGAATTCCGGAGGGACTCAACGTTAACAACGGGACTGAGAAAGTGTAATCTCACGTATAACATACGTTACACCAACCACCAGATCATCATTTTGTCTGACGTTGGAAACTCTGAACGCCATGCTTATGGAATTGTGTATGTCTATCGTCATAGATAGTTAGACGTTACTTTTTTTAAGACCCGATTCGGACAGTCGATTCGGTCACTCTTCCACCTCCTATATTACGACATATAATCTATCATTTCGAAATGGTAGGTCTGAATCATTGCAACCGTTGTGAAAGAGAACTACAAAGGACATTTCACCATGGGAATATCATGTGGGAAAAACATCAAAAACCTTTCTATAATCAGAATTATCAGTGAATGAGTAAAATGTCTCAGAGCGTATCCTATTCTACCGACGACACCCCTCACATGCACAAGCAAAGGCAGGTCAATTGTTCACCAGAAATACCACGGTAAGCTTCTTTGGACATGTCACGTCATTCACTGATGCATCAAATTTGGAAATGTTCTTCACATGGAATGCCATAATGATTATTGATTTCTTCCGTTAACACATCCTCATTTGCTATAGCTGTAAAGCGAAATACTACTTTCAACCGTGTTGAAGAACTGAGTGAGTGATCGATTGAGTGCTTGAGTAGGTATGGTTTTACGCAGCTTTTATGATGTATCTGAGCTAAAATATAAAAAACCCGTGAAGATCCGGGTTAGAATTGATCTTCAGTAACCCATGCTCATCGTAAGGGGCGAATAACTGGAATTGCGTAGATCGATGCTCATGCTGTTGATAACTGGATTGTCTGGTCCAGACTCGTATATTTACGGAACGCCGTCATATAGCTGGAATGTTGCTGAGTGCGGCGTAAAACTAAATTCACTCTCACTTACAATAAAAAACAACAACTAATAACTTTTGCTAATTCAAGAAATTGGCCGTCGGTGCAATGTTTACGTTGTATTCTCTAAAAGCAGTGTCCGTTCTAGAACGATACTGACTATTTCATACGTATGTATTTGTAAGTCACCATCGAATAATACTATGACTACTAGAGGTTTTGCGAATAGGTACAGCATTCCTCCCAGTACAAACAAATGCTGAGGCAAGTCACTGTCCACCTGAAGAAGACCGCCTCCGTGGTGTAGTGGTTAGAGCGTCTGCCCGGAGAGCGGAAGGTCGCGGGTTCGATCCCCGACCGCGTCATACTTGTTGGTCCCTGCCTGGCGCTCGGCATTAATGGGTACAATAAGGACTGGTCGGCTCGGAGTCAGTATAATGTGTCTGAGTGGGGTATTCATGCTTCACTGCGGCATGGTATCTCAGTGGGCTAGCACTATAAAACCAGCTTCAGTCTGGGCTAGTACAAGCAGCCGCACATACACATACACACGCATGCACGTCGTCATATGAGCGAAATATTCTCAAGCACGACATTAAACCCAATTTCACCTCACCTCACCTCACCACCTGAAGAAAACAGGGCAACATATGGTACAATCCAAACTAGGAATCGCATCGACATCAATTTGTTACTGATGCGTCAAATGTGGAAATGTTCTCAACGTTAAACCATTTAACGTTTTGAAAACTTTACTGAGGATTTGAATGTTGTAACCTTGAGTCGTATAACCCTCTTTGAATGAGTAGTATCAAGTGTACATAATAATAGCCTGAGGACCATACGGAAGTTAATCATCCATAAAGACATGTCATTCCTATTACTCACAGCCTTTAGAATGCCTCTCAAACAGTACATGATAATAGTTGCCAAATGTAGACACTAAAGGCCAGATGTGCTGGACTTCAGCTTGACATAAAGGGTCATGACTCCCGTTAGACGGTCTTGTGGGTGTTTTATGCACAGACCTAAATCCGACGGGTATCTTTCATGTCTAGTTCATGTTGGTAAGTTGGTGGAATGGAATTGGCTGATCTGATATCATCA